AAAAGTATCTCAACAGTAATGAAGTTCAGGATTAATTTATCAAAACTGGATAATTATTAATTTATTTCCATATATGTATAAGAAATATACAATTTATATAAAATACTATGTATAATAATATCAAAAACATTGTATTCTTCTGAATGAGTATGGCAAGCAAGCATGAGATGTTATACTTAAAAACTGCAAAATACTGAGAAAAATTAGAGGACAATTAAATAAATGAAAGAACATACCAATCTATAAATTGGAAGATTTGGTAATATGATATCAACACTCTCAAAATTGATCTTCAGATACAAAGTCATTCTAATCTAGATCTCAGCATATTTTCTTCATTGACATTAACAAACTAATTTACAATGTATATGGAAATATTAAAGGCAAAAAATTGTTAAGGCAATCTTTAGGAAGGACAACAAAGTTGAAGAACGCATACTGCCAAATATCAAACCTACCATAAACAAAACCACACTGAAGAGATAACAAGTTGTAGAACCAGCAATCTCATTCCTTGGTATATGCCAGGACAAAGCACACTTCCTATTACAAAATATCATATATCAAAACTAACAGTGGCACTATTAAAAGCACTAAACTATAAAATATCCACTATTAACAATAGAAAGGAAAATAGAATAGAAATAGAAAGGAAAGGCTGTATTCACAAAATGGAATGCTATGCAGCAACAGAAAAGAATACACTATAACTATATAAAACAATATGGATGAATCTCACAAACATAATGTTGAGTAAAAGAAACACGACAGAAAGGAATACTTTATTGTTGGTTCTACTTTAGTACACTTTATAGCCCATAACAGTGCTAGGAACTAGACTAATGATTTCTTTTGGGAGATGGGGTTGGTGGTCATGTTAAGAAGAAGGCAGAAGAGGTGAATGGAGTAGCCCACATTCCTGTTCTTAATCTCATTGGTGGCTACACAGTTCTTTTCTCTTTTCAAAAATTTGCTAACTTGTGTATTTATGAGATGTGCACTTTCTGGTCTAGAGAGAAATTACAAAATATCACATTTGGGAATAGATTTAGGCAGAGATTTGTTGAGTAAAGTTAATAGAAGTGTTTATATTCCCATAGAAAAAGTCCAAAAATAGCACTTCTGAGATATCTATAGGAGGAGGAGGAGTGTTAGTTGCTCAGTTGTGTCTGACTCTGAGATCCCATGAACTGAAGCCCGCCAGCCAGCTTCTCTGTCCATGGGATTCTCCAGGCAAGAATACTGGAGTGGGTTGCCATTCCTTTCTCTAGGGAACCCAGGGGTCCAACCTGGGTCTTTGCATTACAGGTAGATTTTTATCCATCTAAGCCACCAGGGAAGCCTGAGACATCTAGAACTGCACTTTAAATGGGACATCACTCATGGATTCATTATTTACCTAGGAGAATGTTTTACCCATTGTATTCTAAAAAGATATCTTCAACTAATGTTCACCATATGTATTGAATTTAGGTAAATGATTCTATTATTTCATAACCTAATAAACCTAAGAGATCCAATAATTAATAATATAGAACTTGAACAAATAGGAAAGATAAAAATCAAATTCTTCATTTCAGTGTCTTTCCATGAAAAAGCATATTGCCAAAATCGCAAATAATTTTTATTATATGTGATAAATATGTTCAAAATACCTGTTAGTAATCTATAAGATCATTTTAAATTATGGCAGCAAGCTTCTATATAATGAGATTATTAAAGGATTTTAATTGCTTGGGCTGGCAGAAGGTGAGAATGTTATATATAGTTCTTCAGAAAGGCATAGATATGTAAAAGGACTCTCAAAGACCTCTGTCAGCTCTATGAATCTGTAATGTGATGCTTTGTTTTGAAAAATACTGGTGACAAATTATTTCCAGCACTATGCAAATATGTAAATATTCCAACCACTATGCATAAATATAAATGTTGACTCTTAAATAGCAAAACTGATTGTTTTGTCACTTCTATATTCTTCTGCATGTCATTTGCTATTTTCTAAAAAAGTCATACTGTAGCATCCTAACTTTATCCTACATATCTGCTACTGAATCAACAAGTAATTTTTTAATGATTAGATACTTAATTGTCAAAATATATCTACACATATCTTTATCTACTTTTGGTGTATGTATATGTGTCAGAGTAAGATAATCTGTTAATCATAAATAGTGATAGGGATAAGATGTTCAATTGTTTGTAACATGACAGTTTTCATGAGAAATTATCTAGTCTGAAATCTTTTCTACAAGCACCAAATGGATAAACAGACATAGAACAGAAAAAGAATTAAAAATAATGTTTTGATTATCTCTTGCTGTGTTATACACTATCAGTGTATAACTGATACTAAGTTGCTTAACACAAACATTTTAGTTGTTTGCTCATGACTATGCAAATTTTTCAGGGTTACATGGAGATATCCTGTCTTTCCTCTATTTGGCAGTAGTAGGGATGCCTCAGGTAGAACTGGAAAATCCACCCACAAAATGAATTTATTCATATAGTTGGCAAATTGGTTCTGACAGATGGGTGACACCTCACCTGGGATTTGGATCTGGGTTTCAATTTTTTTGTAAAAGGACTATCAATTTGGGTAAATAAGTTTTCATAGCACAGTGTTCCTAGGTAACATATTTATTATTAATATATGTCAGCTGCTTTCCCCCAGCAAGCAAAAACAGAAGCTCACATATCTTCTTTCTTAAGACTTAATTTAGTAGCACCAGTATTTCTGCTACTACTTCCTGTTAGTTAAACAAATCATAATGCCAGGTGGTAATCAAGGGGATAGTTTACACTATTGTGTGTAGACCCAGAAGTATGTCTTCTGGAGGTCAACAAACCAGCATTTTGCTGTAGGCTGAGATACAGCCCTTAATGCTTCATGTTTCATCTACCTTCTTTCCAGTATCATCAAAGCACCAACCTATTATGGCATCAGCTCAGACATGAAGCCTATGACTTTGCATCTAGTTCAGGTCTAGGTATACAAATGAAGCTCCTCAGGTACAAATTATCTTGTTCTAATGACCAGTAAATCTAACAGGCAAATAAACGCTTTCAAGAAGCCCAAAACATAGTGATAAGACAATGACAAAGACAACAAAATAGCTATTTTCACACAAAATGGCAGATAATACAAGGTATGTAGCAGTTATTGCTCCATTAAGATTCTGAAAAGCAGCCAGTCAACCATATTTTTTTAATTCGGAACCAATTTTCTGTTGCCAGGGAATTGTTCTTCAAGGTTCCCAGGTCTAACCTCAGAATGATCCTTCATTTTCTGAAAGAAATGACCCATGTTTCCAGGTGAATAGCTTTCTTAACCTGCTTTTGTTTTGTTTTTGCCTACAGAAATGCTGGAAAAACTCTAAGTGATCTTAGATATGCCAATACATTTGTAAATACAATATCAAAAGTGTGATCCATGAGGAGAAAAAATGAGTTGGACTTAATTAAAATTAAAATTTCTGCATTGTGACAGACAGTATTAATAAAATGAAAGCCAAGTCACAGAATGAGAGAAAATATTTGGAAAACATGTTAAAGAACTTATAAGCAATATAAATATTTTTTTTAAAGTGGAAAGCTCAAAAATAAGAAAACAACCAACTTAGAAAATGGGCAAATTTCCAGAACTAGAAAAAAAGAAAATGGATGAAAATTTTTAATTGCCTGTTTCACCAAACAAGATGTACAGAAAATAAATAATCATATGAAAAAATGCTTAAATATGTCACTATTAGGAAATTGCAAATTAGAACAATAGAGAGATACCACTATACCCCTAAGAAAATGGCTTGAAGTGAGAAAAAAACCTGACGATACTAATTTCAGGTGAGGATATAGAACAACCTGGTCAGAATAATAAAGGAATATTATGAACAATTTTATGCAAATTTTAAAAAAAACATAAAATGGATCAATTCCTTAAAGAAAATGAATGAATAATCTGATAGAAGATGAAACACAGCATCAGAAAGAAAACCTTTTAAGAATTTTCCTCATATGTATGCAAATATCAACTTGAAAATGATCATTAGTTTAAATGTACAATCTAAAATAATAAAACTTCTAGAATGAAACATAGGAAAAAGATGTCTAACCCTGAGAAAGGCAAAAATTTGTTAACAGAAGGTGATAAACACAGAATACAAGTCCTCTGTGTTCCAGATATATGGTTGAAAAGTTCAAACTGCAGTAGCAGCCCTTTCTAAGACCCCCACTGGATGCCTGAAACCACATTGTACCAAACCCTATACATACTGTTTTTCCTATATGCACATACCTATACATTTCCTGTACACACAGTAAAGTTTAACGTATAGATTAGGCACAGTATGAGATCAGGGCTTCCCTGGTGGCTCAGATGGTAAAGGACCTGCCTACAATGCAGGAGACCTGGGTTCCATCTCTGACTTGGGAAGAACCCATGGAGAAGGGAATGCCACCCCACACTAATATTCTTGCCTGGAGAATTCTATGGACAGAGAAGTCTGGCGGGCTATAGTTCATTGGGTTGCAAAGATTCAGGCACGACTGAGTGACTCTCTCTCTCTCTCTCTCTCTCTCACACACACACACACACACACACACACACACAAGATTAACAACAATAATAATAAAATGAAATAATTATAACATATGGCAATAACAGTTATGCAAATATAGTCTCTCTCAAAATAACAAATGCAATGCCTTTCCCATCTTAACTAAGCCTTTAACACACACCGTGGCCTTGACTTGCAGCTTGAGGTGCCACAACATAACTAGCACGACTTTCTTTTTCCTTCCTCACAATTTCAGGCATAGAAGAGTCATTCTCACCATAGATCTTAGTAACTCAGCATATGGTTCTTTTTCCCTCTCCTTATTAAGTCAACAGCTTTCACTTTTCGCTTAAAGAACGCGCTTTACAGCTTCTCTTTGGCATACCCGAGTTGTCGGCATCAAAATTCTTGCACTTTGGGGCCATTTTTAAGTCAAATAAGAGTTACCTGAACATAGGGTTGTCACAGCGATACCTCAGCAGTCGATCTGGTAACTAAGATGGCAGCTGAGCAACTGACCAGCGAGCGAGAGCAAGCGAGACAACGCGAGATTTCATCACGCTGCTCAGAACAGCTGTACGTTTTAAAACCTAGAAATCGTTCATTTCCGAAATTTCCCACCTAATATTTTCAAACCGTAGTTGACCTTGAGTAGCTGAAATTGCAGAAAATAAAACCGCAACAAGAGAGGACTACTGTATGTGATTCCCCCCGTACACACACACATTTGCTGGAAATTGTTAGGGTATTCGTTTGTGTTCAGGAACGTTACTGTCATGAATTGATGTGGGTGTATTTTCATACATTGTGATGGATTAAATTGATCCTTTGTGTCTAGAAATGCATGTTCTTCACATTTGGAAAACAGTTTTGAATATGTGTTCGATTAGTTCTTCTTTTCGATTTAATCTGTTCTTTCCCAAGTTCCCATTAATCTGATATCTGATTTATTGAATAATTGTCTTTTACTACTGTTTTCTCTGTTGTTTTCGTTTTCCCCATTCACTCTCTCCCCCAGCCCCAGAGAGCTTCCTCAACATTTCTTTGAATTACTTTTTATATAATTTAAAACATATTTTTCATGTTCTCAAATTATCCTTTTTTCTGTAATTTCTAGTTTCTGTTTAATGAATGCAGTATCTTTTAAAAATATTCCTGGACAAATGTTTAGTAGTATTTTGGCGGGGGGTTGTTCCCTGTGTAGTCTATGATGCCTTCCAATTTTACTTTCTTACTGTTTGCTTTGGTCTCTGTCAATGTTAGAGATTTCTCTCAAATTACTTGGTGATCTTGCATTTGTGCTCATATTTAAGATCATGGTGCATGTTGTCTTAATTTCTCTGCACAATAGAGGGGTGCACAAACTGAAAAGACCGATTTAATATCAGAGGAGCTTTTCTTTAGTGGTTAGGGCCCACATGAAAGAATCCACGTATTACCTGCCTAAATTATATGTCAGACATCAAGGATTTTGTTAGCTGTGGTATAAGGGGGATTGAGCATTTAACACATAGGTTCCTTTCATTTCATTCTTTTGATAACAAGACTGCCCTCAAAGTTTTATGTTGTCTTCTAGGAAATTAACCCTTTGTTTTACCCTCCCTAGTTAATTTGCAGTAATTTTTCTGCAATCTGTCTTCCACTATTTAATGTTATCAACTCCTATAATGCTTTTTTTTCCTTCTGAATTTTTATTTGTGTTGACATTGGGAGAAAATAAGTGTAAATATGTGTATTCATTCAATCAATTTCAAGTAGGGCCTTGAATTTCCAAACCAAATATTGTGAAGAAAAATAAAAATAGCAGAAAAAATTAAATATGAAAAACAAGGTGGAGGAATGGAAAAGGATATAAATATTAAGTTTAGCAAAATTAAGCTTATTTTGAAATTAAATTATAAACTAACTTAGCTCTAAGAAGAGACACTTATTCCTACACTCCATCAAGAACTTAGGATGTTCCAGTGATTTGAGATAGACAAATAAACAGGAAATTAGGGTAAGATAAATTCTAACAAAAGACAAAAATCATATTCACTATTTTTAAGTGTCATTAGAATTTTTCTTTCCATTTATTTTTATTAGTTGGAGGCTAATTACTTTACAACCTTGCAGTGGTTTTTGTCATACATTGAAATGAATTAGCCATGGATTTACATGTATTCCCCATCCCGGTCCCCCCTCCCACCTCCCTCTCCACCCGATCCCTCTAAGTGTCATTAGAATTTTTTTGATGTGAATCTGTTTCTCAAATGATTACCAAAAAGAAATGCTGAAATATTCTCTAGATACTAGAAGGATTTGCAAAATTGATAACATGCTTGACTTTGAGTGTGTCTAAAGCAAATGAAAATGAAAATCTGCCCATACAAATGTGTTTTTTTAAAAGGCTACAAGACCATTAAAATAGCTCAATTTGGGATTTTCTACAAATATTTATTCATATCCATATTTTCAATAACTAATATGTAAATAATATATGAGCAAGATACAGACCTTACAATACTCAATTTTGTACCTTTAAGAGAAAAATCACTCTGCATGTCACTCTTCACAAGCTGTATTACTACATGTATGCATGTGTATTCAGTCATGTCCAACACTTTGTGACCCCTTGGACTGTAGCCTGTCAGGCTCCTCTGTCCATGGGATTTTTTTAGGCAAAAATACTGGGGTGGATTGCCATTTCTTCCTTCAGGGGATCTTCCTGACCCAGGGATTGAACCCATGTTGCCTGTATTTCCTGCATTGTGGGTGAATTCTTTGTCCACTGAGCCATTGAGGAAGCCCATATTAGTATATTACTATGACTAATAAACAACCAGAGTTCACTTTTTTGGAAGGCTATATATTAATTCAGGAAAGTTAATTTTTAACAATTTTAGTTCATTTTTCTCTAATAATGATATATATTTTAATTTTCACATTTTAATTAAAGTCAATAATGAGAACCTGATTCTTAATTAAATTATCCCTATTTCTAATACAATTAAATTCTAACTCTGTATAATAAAACTGTTTTCATTCTTCACTCCATAATATACTTTTTCCCCCTCAGACAAGTGAGTATAGTCACTGTATAAAAAGTAAAGTGAAATTATATTACTGATTTAGAATTCTCAATTATATATATATGTGTGTGTGTATACACATAACACACACACATATATATGTGTGTGTGTGTATATATATAAACAAGCATATCCCACCTAAACTAGTAATTGAATTCAGAAGCATCTACCTTACCATTTCTACTTAGATGAATATATTTTCATGACCTAATAAAAAAAGAAAATAATTTTTGGTATAATACTGTTCTTAAACTGTATGTTAAAATGAAAAAGTTTTCTTTTTTTTCCCCTAACACAGCCAATGTGTGTGTGTGTGTGTGTGTGTGTGTATATATATATATATATATATATATATATATCTGTGTTTGTGTGTGTGTGTATACATGCATTTTATGCCAAATACCCACAAATGGGCTTCCTTTGTGGCTCAGATGGTAAAGAATCCACCTGCAGTGCAGGAGACCTGGGTTTGATCCCTGGGTTGAGAAGATCCACTGAGGAGGGCATGGCAACCCACTCCAGTATTCTTGTTTGGAGAATTCCCATAGATGGGGGAGCCTGGCAGGCTACAATTCATGGGGTAGGGGTCGCAAAGAGTTGGACACAACCCCCAAATATCTCTTAACATTTCTTTCTCTCTTACTATTTATTCCAGCTTTTCAGATATCCCTTAGATACTCTTCACTAGGAATTGATCTCTTAATTCTTGATATTTCCACATATGAATTGCTGCTTATTTCTATTAAATCTTCTCTTATCCAGGAATCTCTGAGTCAAGTCCAAAAAAAGGGGCTAAGTCTGTGTAAGGCTATCGGAAATGTTGCCCCTTGGGAGAGCCTAAAATCTCTGGAAATAAATGTACAAGACTGATTTTATGAGAGTTAAATTAAGAAGTAAGTAATGTGGACTAGAGTATAAATTACAGGGTCACATTAGAAGTAACTTTAAATAGCTTTAATGTAATATGATTCACATATCTGAATGAAAATTAAGTTATTGAGAGATTCAAAGGGCTTGGTCAGTGAGTGAAGCATAAAAGAGTCTGTTACTGCTCCCCGCGCTGTGCAGAGGAGTAGAAGCATATGGGTCTTTGCAGCTAATATGACTTTAACTGAGGGCGTTTGGTGGTTGTAGCCCAGGTGGTACTAGTGGGAAAGAATCCACCCGCCAGTGCAGATTTGCATGAGTCATGGGTTCGATCCCTGGGTCAAGAAGACCCACTGGAGAAGGAAATTGCAACCCATTCTAGTATTCTTGTCTGGAAAATTCCATGAACGGAGGAGCCTGGTGTGTTACCTTGCATGGGATCACAAGTCAGACATGGCTGAGTGATTAAACACACACACATCTTTGTCTTCATTGAGATTACCCCACTAAATCCTTTTATTCTGATTCTTTGTTCACTGTATCGTCAGCTGCAGGAGAACTAAATTAAAATCAAAATAGTTTTCAGCCTTATAAAGAAAAAAAGGAGGGAAACGATGTTTCACATAACTAGAAAATCTGAGTAATAGGCTTCAGGAACATCCAGATCCAGTTGACTGACTACTTTCAATTGGCTCCATGCAGGCAGTCTCACACTACTGGCAGCAAGAACACTGACGTGCATTCGGTCACTTAAATACTGAATGGAATGGCTGAGGTCATTTTGCTTTCCCATATTTTTATCAGCAATCCCAGAGTTATCCTCATTTGGCTAGCTTGCGTCACCTGCCTATCTTTGAACACCATGGCTAGAGTTGGGGGTAGATAGGGAAGAATGTGCATTTATTCTAGTACAGTGTATTCTATATGAGATGAGTGACCTTATCAGTCTTAGTACATCATTGTATTCCCAGCATCATAAAACACTGCTTGTCATAGCATAGGTACTCCATAAATGTTATCATAAAGGATAAAAAAAGGTTAAAAATTATTGTTCAAGCCTAGGTCAGGGACTCAATCCTGGATCTGCAGAATAAGATTGGTTATTTTTATAGTGGAATAAGAAATGGTAGGGTGTTTTCAAGGATTCAAAAAAATTGATGTGGATAGCGGAATTATTCCAGGCTTCACAGAAATGATGTAACAAATGTCAACTAAAGGAAGAAAATCCCTTAGAGATTGTCTGATGCAGAGAGAATGCACAGATAACTAAAAAGAGAATGTGTCCATCGATTATATTTTTTAAAAGTCTTTCATTAAAATGCCAAATTAGGCATTTCATTTTTTCTTTTATTATTTTTTGATATTGGTTCATTGTGAATCAGTTTCCCAATAATGGGATCACTTGTGAATAGATTAATTTCAAATATCTGGCATACATGTATATCTCTTCTATCACAGTTGAGACACTGACAGTGAACCTGCAATAATGAATATGTAAAGACTAAATTCACTAAATGTATTACAGTTTAATGTAAATCAGAAAAAAGAGATAATTTGAGAAAGTTAAGCTCAATATGAGTTACCAAGAATTGT